TTTTTCCTTGTCGTATAAACTCCAGTTTGACTATGCTTTTATCAGCCTTGCCATTCTCTTTTCAGTTTTCCTTACCTTATGCCTCTTGAATCTTAATGATTACATATTCCCTCTTGCCTTCATTTATATTTATTATTTTTTCTTCCTTGTGTCAGATCTCAATAACCGGGCACTGCCATTTGGTTCTCCACTGTCCATATCATCTGTGGGATTCGTTTGACTGATGGATTGTAAGTAAACTACCTTGGCAATTGAAAAAAATAATTGTGCTTAAACTCCAACCATTGCCAAAGATTGCCAGAGATCTATATAAGAAAAAGGAGTGCCTGCATTATCTTGTGTATTAAAAAAAATATAAGGACTTTTAAATAAATAAAAACTAAATAAAATAAAGGGATTAATTTAAATTAAAAGACAAAAAAAAAAAAAAAAACCCTGCAATGTGACAGGGTTTTTTTTAACCCATCACTTGTAAAACTGCATAGCAGCTTATCTAGGCCCTCAGCCAAAATAAATGTGTATGTTTGCAGAAGAGGACGGCACTTGCTAAATAACAGTAGACTGCCGGGTGCCATGGTCAGAGTGTCCCAATTCCACAATAGAGTAAACAGATATTTTCCCCTGCTCAAATAGAAGCCCTAAGCTACTTCCATTTTTTTCCACTATGAAGGATTGCTCTGGCAGATGTAAAACAGGATCAGTGTATTACCATTTTAGTTTTTAAACTGTATAGTTTAAAAAATTTCATTTAAATTCTGCTACAAAGGGTTAAGGTGGCTTCTCTTAATATCTTACAGACTAGTAAGATTTCTGTGACAGTATAACTATATATTTTGCTTGAGGTATGAGGCAAAATAACATGTAGGATAACTGCAGAATGTAGGATTGGGAAAAGTGACAAGCCATGTTGATGGGAGGGTAGTGAAACGTGCCAATTTTTAATAAGTAGGCCTCTGGTGATTTGGATTGTAATCTGAATGCCATGCTCAGTGTTAATTAGAAAATTTTTTTTCTTTTTCCACTAAAAATGTGTGTTCACAACTGCAGCAAGACTGGTCACCATGAGCTGCAGATCTGATAGGCACCCTCCCCCACCAAAGAGATTTTTGTTTAAATGGTGCTATCACTACAATCTTTAATTATGGAGGACTGATGGCTCTGTCCTGTGTGTTTGCATTAACACATTCTGTACTAGTGCTTTACAGAAATTTCAAATTAAGTAGGAAGGCATGTACATATCTGTGTACAATAAGAAAATCTATGTTTTTAATGTTAAAAAGCAATTTTTTCACTTGATACTTAAAAACGCTGTGTTAATGTTTCAGCCATTAATGCTGACTAAGACCAGAATAACAACCAGTTCCTAAAGGGGTACTCCAAAAATCATAACCGCTACCGTCCGCTTTAAGGCCCGGTAATACATATACCTAGAACCTCTATTTGTTGGATTTGCCATTTCCTGTAAGTTACGGTACAACGCTGTGACTCCACATTATTCTCCCCCGTCTGTCAACCTCTACTCAAACACCTGAAACCTTCCTAGTAGTGCCAGAAGTTTCAGATGATGCTCATATTTTGCGCTCACTTGCAAACCACAGAGCGAAAAGAACTACATTTTCCTTTATCTCACCAGAGCTTCCAGGACCTTGAGCAATGCATTAAGAGTCATTCGGTTGCGCTAGTGTAAAGAAGGGCCTCAAATTTGCTCAAGGAGACCATACTGACCTTTGGTCAAGCCTCATCACCCTCCAGATTAAATCGTCTTTACGTTCCCTAAAGGCAAATGTGAAATTACACTTGGTGCAATTAAATGTCTGCTACAAAAAGTACAGCATTCTATAAAGAATACAGTAAATCTGATATTTATCAAACACTGAGCTTGGTTAACGAACATTGTCTAAGCAGCAAGCAAATGCCCCATGTTGCTAGGTAAAACAGTATAGATGTCAAATGTAGAAATGTCATCATGAAAGTCCCATGTCAGTAATTTGATTAGTTAGTAATGTACTTTCCTAATTTTCTCTCTTTGGATTTTGATAGGAACATCAAGGTGCTAGGTTTTCACACCTAGCATTACAACTTGGACACGATTGGAGAGTAGTCAACACTTAAACACGTATATAATTTATATTATTACAATTCCTACAACTAAGAGGGAGCTTTAGAAACATCTGAAGTATGTGGGGGTGTAAGCAGTTATTTCGAAAATCAGTTCCACTCTCACACAACCCCCCTTATACACACACAAAACAGAATGAACTCCTGCTGTTCCGTTGCTTTCGGCATTTGTATTCTTCGTTCCTCACCTGCACATGCTTTCAAGAGTGCTGATTTATACTCATCAGTCCTATTGTTCTCCAGCTCAATGAGTTGTTTTTGAAGCACAATGATATGAGTTAACTGCAGCTTTAATATGGAATCTTTCTGTGTGCGCATTCTTCACAACACCATTACACATGCTCAGGATACTAACACAAACAATACAAGCATTTTTAACTAATCAGTGGCTCACCCCTTTGGGTGCAAAATACTTCTAAAACACTATACAGTATTTGGACCCTGAATCAAGTTTTATTATTTCAGTCATTTTCCAAAATAAATTTATGTTACAGTTAAATAATGAATATGGACTTACAGTACAGGTTGTCAGTTTTAATTTGAGGGTATTCCGTCCAAATTGGAGAAAGGGTTTAATTAATTAAAAATGCTGTTTCATGGACAGGTGTGGGATATTCCTTTGTTATTTCCACATCAATTAAGAAGGTAAAAGGTTTGGACTTGATTCCAGGTCTGGCGTTGACATTTGGAAGCTATTACTGTGAAGCCAGAACAAGTGCAAGTGAAACAAGCCATCCTTAGGCTGCAAAAAATAAAAATCCTTTAGAGAGATAGCAGATACATTAGTAATGGCTATATCACCAGTTTGTTACATTCTGACAAAAAAAAGGATGCACCGGTGAACTTGGCAACACAAAAAGGTCTGGATGTCCACGGAAATCAGTAGTGGTGGATGATCATAGCATCCTTTCTATGGTAAAGAAAAAAACATTCACAACACCCAGCCAAGTGAAGAACACTCTCCAGGTGGTAGGCATTTCATTATTCAAGTCTACCATAAAAAGAAAACTTCACAAGAGCAATATAGAGGGTTCACCAAAAGGTGCACGCCATTCATAAGCCTCAAGAATAGAAAGACTAGATTAGATTCTGCCAAAAAACATCTAGAAAAGCCTGCCCAGTTCTAAGATATCATTATTTGGCCAAATTAAACTAAGATCAAGCTGTGCCAGAATGATGAGAAGAAAAAAATATAGAGAAGACTTGGAACGGCTCATGATCCGAAACATGCCACATCATCTGTAAAACATGATGGGGCAGTGTGATGGCTTGGACATGCATGGCTTCCAATGGCACTGGCCACTAGTGTTTATTGATGATGCAACAGAAGCAGAATATATTCTGAAATGTATAGGGATATATTGTCTACTCAGGTTCAGCAAAGTTGATTAGACAGTGCTTCACTTTACAGATGGACAATGACCCAAAATTTACTGTGAAACCAACCCAGGAGTTTAGGCAAAGGAGGGAAATATTTGTCAATGGCCTAATCAATAACCTGATCTCAACCGGATTGAGCATGCATTTCACTTGCTGGAGACAAAACGTAAGACAGAAAGAATCATGAACAAACAACAACTGAAGACAACTGCAGTAAAGGTCTGGAATTCTCTCTCTCTCCTCATAATAGTAATGCAGTTCTTTGCCAAGCAAATGTGTTTATCGATCGTGTGCCAGTCAAGTTGTAATACCTGCATTTTTACAGATGTTCCTTTTCACACATCAGTTACTCTTCTTAATATGCATCTGTTTAATTAGAAACAAAATTATATCAGACATATGTTTCAAAACACTTTTATCTGAATTTACTTTCAGCTTGAGGGAGAAATAAGGATGTGGCCAGCTCTGATTTTGTGTATTCCAGCAGATTTGCCCATTTGAGTGAAAATGGGTGAAAATTTAAATGAAAAAGTATGCGCTCAGATGTGGCTGTGATAGAGGAAGCTACCCCTTCTCACACTCAATGGCAGCTCCTCTAGTATTATTATTATTATTGGTATTTATATAGCGCCAACTTATACCACAGCGCTTTACAATATTATGAAAGGGGGTAGATTTAACAATAAATGAGACAATTGTAAAATAATACAGGAAAAATAGGTAGATGAGGACTCTGCTCAAACAAGCTTACAGTACAGGGGAGGTGGGGTATAAAAACACAATAGGGCAGCATGGGGGGGAGGGGCAGCAAAAAAACAAGGTGGGAAAGTAGCAGAGCTGGAGGTGAGAGTGGAGTGTGGCTCTGTAGGAGAGAGCAAGAGACAGATATGTGACATAGAAGTTACTCTGGGAGGCCATAAACATTTATGAACTGAATGGAGTGCAGAATGGAGAAAAGGCTACATATGTTGTGGTAGTAGAGGACTCTATTTTTAAGAGTAGACATCTGCCGCTCTGATCACCTCAGATGGGGAGTTTCATGTCTTCTGGGTGGGCAACATGTGGCTGATAGAGTAGATAGATTAGATAGAGTAGATAGATTATTGTGAAGATCTATCTACGGTATTCAAAGACAGAATACAGCTGAAGCAGCAGCGTGCACACAAAAAAAAGAATACAATTGAAAATTTTACAAAGTTACTTAAAGTCCCCTATCTTAGCAAACAAATATAGTGATTCAGAAAACAAAAGGAAAACAGCTCTAATTAACAAACAATATGTAGATAGGCAGCAACCCAAATGAAGGAGACCCCTCAAATCCTTCAATAGATGAGACAATACAAAGAGATGGGGTAGGGCTGCGCCAGCGGAAAGTAAAATAACGTAAAATAGTCCAAAAGAGTCTCACTAGAGCAACAATGCTTGATGGGATATAGATGAGTAGTTGTTTCAGTAGGGGTGAGTTCTAGTGTCTCAGGGTATACACATATGTGAAAGACAAAGATACAGGAACAAATATTCAGTTCCACCATATGACCATATTGTGTTAATCCCACCACTATGTCACAGTACATCAATATTGGTGGGTCCTACATAAATTTTAAAACGGGAGATATACATGTTAACTTGCAATACTTACAGCTTAAACAGCTATCAGAGACTCCTCAATTTAAGCTTTCCTGTGGTCACCTCCAAAGGGGAACCCATAGTGGATGGATGGGACGCTTAGCTCAACAGAGCCCAAATGGAATCTGGTCTAGATTCCAAGTCTACATAAAAACCAGGAACCAATGTCAGAGTCATAGACATATGGGAGGTGCTAAAGAATGAGTTCAGTGAATTAAGAAGCAAACTTAATGTCAAGGTGAGTATAACCTAACATGCAAACAGTGTGAAAGAAAATGTATTACCACTCCAGAGAGTTGCCAGACTTAGCATATAAAGGAAGAAGAAGCAGTCTGTAAAGCAGAGTGGTCAGAAACAATATAAAGTCACCGTAATACAAACAAATTTGAAGAAAAGGCAGAGGTCAAGTATCACAGAAAACAGAGATGTCAATAAACAAAGCCAAGTCAGTAAATATAATAATCAGATACTCTTGATCAACCAGAGAGTTATGAGTGAAATTACACAGCATGGGAAAATTCCAAAGAACTTTCCCATGCTGTGTAAAATTACTCAGGGACTCTGATTGATTGGATTCTAAGCCAACCAATCAGAGTGCTGTAACAAGTAAATGTAGAGACTTACCTGTCAGTCTCTTCATTTACCTGTCAGAGCACTCTGATTGGTTGGCTTAGAATCGACCAATCACAGTACTCTAAGTCAAATTGCAGAGCGTGGTTAGGCTTTATAAGCCTTTCCCCACCCTGCGGTGCTCAGCCCCCCTTTCCACCCCTGACTCCCCCCATTGTGTTTTTAAATAAAACTATAACATTCTGTTAGACTTGAAATTGCTGTTTACTAAATAGTGAATTAAAAATAAAATTATAAAATTCAAGTTAAAATAGAGTTGGGGAAATTCTTTGATTGAGCTGTGTTTTTCAACTTTAATGTTTTGTCAATTTTCAATTAATCAAAATTCATAGTTTAATAATTAAATAAATACATAGTTTTTGTTGGAAAGTAAGAAGCAATCTCTTATTTTATTTGTGTATGCCATCGTCCCCTGTCCTTATTTAATTTGTTTAGTAGCAATTATATTTAATCTTGTGCACTTGACAGCAATTCAGAAGGATGGAAAGATGATTAAATTACCAGACCCTACCTTTGTTTTCAGCCATTACCTTGTTAACATCATGGACTGGTTTCTATAACCAAAGATAATTTTAGCTCTGGCAACTGAAAAGCAATTCTTCAACTGTAGACTTTCAGGAAATTGCTCTACAATTATAAGTGATAAACTAAACTCTGGTAATAGAATTCAACCTCATGAGTGCAAAGTTCAAAATCGAACCCATTTGACTATAACTGTTTCTAAACAGAGATCTAAGCACTATAATCATAAATTCACCCCATCATCACACATAGTAGTTGGTATATAGGGGAAGGGGAGTCAGTACTTGCCCAGTTTGTGTTGAAATAAAAAAAGATCAAATGTATTGTGGTAAAGACTAATGATAATGTGTGTTAATGTGGTTGTTGTTTCACAAATACATATTCACATACATGTAGCATTGGGTCAGGAGTTGAGAACATGTGGTGAGATGGATGGAATCCAATAAGTCAGGTGGCACAGTTAAATTCCATGACTGCCAAGGCATGTCTGGACCACAATACCACCTTACCAAGCCCAACTTTCCATAAACTCCCCAATAAATACACCGATACCAAATTAAGGAGAAGTGCTTGGCCACAGCTTTATTTAAATCAAACAGTATAATGGACTTGAAATCCTTAACTGCCATCTATAGGACTTCGGCCCAGAGGCAGGTCTCATATAACCCAGACTTTGGTATCTGACAGATACCAAAAACAGGACCCCCTTATCCCATTGCTCTAGCTTCTGCTACTGTTTAATCCAGGCGCTCGCCTGGCAAACTCTGCAGCTGTGATAATATCTAAAAAACACAAAAAAACACCAGAAAATAGCAAGAAGCTAAGAAATCTAGCAAGACCAAGAAAAAGGACGTGAGGTTGGGAATAGCTGCTTGAGCTTCCTGGAGTAGAGCCCACCAAATTTAAACTGGCCTTTAACATCAATCAATTTTGATCCTATTTGATATGTTTGTGCACTGGCGTTAAAAAGGGAGTATGGTTCAGAAATATCTGTGCTACATTATCTATCCTGATGACAATTTTTACATTTATCCAGTTTTAATGAGGCCATCAGTATATTAATGATCAAATTAAGTTAGGGAAAGACAAACATACAATGAGAAGTATAATCAGTAAATGTAAATATCATTTATATAATAAATTGCTTTCCTGCTAAGTCTTTATGTAAACATCAGTTTGTATGTTCAAAGATTTTTCTTAGAGTTCAACAAAAGTCTGCATCAAGAGAATTAAAGATTTACTACAACAACCATGACCACTTCTGCTTTTAAAAGTGATCATGCTGGTAGGAGATAGTATGTGCAGTGTTTTGGCTTGAAATACTACACACAGTGAGATAATAGCAGTTGTGTGCTAGGGGCAACTTGTACCCCCAGCCCACATGATTTTGGCAGCCTGGAAACATGACTTTGACAGATTGGAAATCCTCGGCACAAGTGACTTTGGCAATCTCAGTTTCAGGCTGCCAAAAGTCAATTCTATGCATAAAATACATTAGTCACCAGTGCACACTGACAATGGATATATTGAGCTTCCCTTTGCAGGCTCTGCCTGCAAGTCCCCTCCCTTGTTCCCCCCCTCTGTTTCTGGGAGATAATTGAGTAAGAAAACTATAACACAAATATCTCTCAGTTACAGAAAAATATAAAAAATGTCATAAATCACCCTAAAAATACATTATAACAACATAGGAACCCCACAAAAGTTATATCACCGAATAGCTGGGGTCTGAGCGCCCACTTTGTAGAAATAGCGCTCAGATATCTTTGGTGGTTTTGAAACACCATTCTAATTAAGTTTTGACCGGTCAGCCACGAGGTATGCCACAAAATAGTTCCATAGAAAACAAGGCAACAACCAATCATCTTTCAGGGATTCTCACACCAACACTGACGAATGCTCCCCCTGGCTGTTAGGGAACAAATCCTCCCCCTATTTGGTAGTTATTGCCTACCGAACGCCATTCTCCTAACTGTTCGTGAAGTTGGACAGGCAGCGGTACAAGTTTCTCGGGTGCTCGTGGGGTCGTGTATCCGAGTTACAGTTCCATGCCGTTGACGACCATGTACCACTACTTGCATTCGGGAGACAAAATGGCCGCCAATTCTTGGAGCTTGTGAATTTGGTTATATGAACGGCGGCCACGCAGGGAAAGCACTTGAACTAATTGCTTACCCAATCAGTTATTGTTTTAATTTGCTCTTCTCCCTCCCTCCTGTCACGATTTCCTAGTGACCCAACACACGGAGTGTAAAAGATAATAGACGTAAGTAAATGTATACTGACTTTACGTTTGTAGGATAGAGAATGGTCGGGGACAAGCCGAGTAATGGACACCAGAATTAGGACAGCAAGGTACAATAGGCGAGTCAGGGAAACCCGAAATCAGGGAAGCGAGGAACAATAGTCAAGTCAGGGATACCAGAATCAAGAGTAGTCAGAATAGCCGATATCTATAAACCAAAAAACACACTGAAAGTATAAGCACTATTGGGAACCAGAATTAGAACCACACCCTTTGAAGTCTTTTTATAGTCTATAGCTTTAATTCCATAGCCATGCCTCAAAAACGCTATAGCGGTCGGCATCGGAACCACTGAGAAGATGACTGGAACTGTGGGAGGGGCCCGTCTCCACATGATGTACCTAACCAGGCTATGACACAGCCTGAGCAACAAAAGATAACATAACATTATAACGTCCCACAGGGTGGAAAGAACCTGGACAAGAAGGAAAAGCGAGCATGGAGCGATTTGAGGAGACGAGGAGCATCAGAAAAATTGATCCATTACCTCTCCTTAGGGCCTTACCCCTTCCAATTAACCAAGTGCTAAAGTTGATCTCTGGAGAAGCTAGAATCAATAATGGCTTTCAACTCATATGCTTCCTGACCTTCAACCTAAACAGGAGGAGGAGTAGCAACATGTCTAGTAAATCAAATACAAGTTAAAGTTTTCAACAAATACACGTGGAATGAATTGGGGATATGGAGGAAGCGCAAGACTTTATGCCACAGGATTGATGCGGCAAGTGATCTTGTAAGGACCTATGTATCTGTGGGTGAGTTTCATGAATGGAACCTTTAAGCATATGAGATTAGTACCTAACCAGACCTTATCACCTGGATGATATACAGGAGCAGCATGTCTACGTTTGTCAGTAAGTGTTATGTGTTTTATTATGGTTCTTTTAGCGAACATTAGACAGAGTAGGGCCTGCCTAATATGGGGTACATTGGCGTTGTGGCAGGCTTATGCAATGTATGATCATATAATGCAACTAAATCCCCATGGTTTTCATATATAGTACTTAGTTTTGTCTACTCTTGTTTTGCCTATTATATCTTGTCTTGTTTTATTTTTATTCCCAGTCCATGTACAGTCCTGTCTTGTCCTGCCCATGTTATGTTAATGTTTCCCTTATGTATTGTGTACATTTTCTGGGTTTAGCTTTCCATCCTTCTCTGGTTCTGGGTTCTCCTAGTTTTGTCTTGTCATGTTTGGTGACTATCCTAGTCTCGCCTTGTTTCTGTACTGGATACATTCCTGCTGCAGAGCCTCCCTTTTCAGCTCCTGGGAGGTCTGTTTATTTCCAAGCTCCTGGTTCCTGCTGCAGAGCCCCCTATCCAGTTCCTGGGAGGTCTGCAGATCTCCTAGCTCTTGGGATCCGTAGTAGCTGTATCAGGGACCTGGTATGTGGCCGCACAAACGCTGGTGCTCAACACCAGGGGGTGTGTGGTTACCCTGCACCAGGCCCTGATAAATCCACGCTGAAAACTCCGCTCATCTCCACATCCCAATTGGATTGGGGATGATAAGCTGATGAAAAATAGAGTTTTGCACAGCACAGCAAGCCCTCCAGAAATGGAAAATAAATTTCCATTGGTATGCCATGCAACCTAAAGACCTTTTTGCCAAATATGTCAACCAATTCTGTTGTAGAAGG